CAGTCTAAGATGGTTGTCCATCCTACCTACCTTGACTGAGAATGAAGAAGGGGGTATTTCAAAGGAAGCGCTAGGTACTTTGCATAGATTAGGTTGGGAATGAGTGCATTTAAGGAATACCATCAACTAATGTCCACTAAAATAAAAATAACATTTTACTACACACAATGTTCTTGTTTAGCATAGCTTTTCCAGTTGCCTCAATTCTCTTAATGAAATAAAAATACATATTTTTTTCATGAAAGTGTTTTCTATTTCTATATGCAGTTTATTTTATCAATTCATAGTCCCTTGACAGCTAAATTTTCAAACTGGTTATTGTTGCTATTATAAGGATTTAATTAGGGGTTGAAATACTACAATTTTTAGGAACATATCTAAAGTAGCAGCATATATATTTGTCATATTCTTTGGGGGAAATTTTAAAAATCCATTTGAGGTTGTTCAAGTGTAATATGAGTTAGGAATGAGACTAAAATCTCTATCATCCAGACATGTTTGGTACAGCAGGATATTCTGAGTTGTCAAGAAATGCTTTGGGGGCCAGCACTGTGGTATAGCGGGTAAAGCTGCCACCTGTACTGCCAGCATCCCATATGGGTGCCGGTTCGAGTCCTGGCTGCTCCACTTCCATTCCAGCTCTCTGCTATGGCCTAGGAAAACAGTAGAAGATGGCCCAAGGACTTGCACTTGCGTGGGAGACCTGGAAGAAGCTCCTGGCTTCTGGCTTCACATTGGCACAGCTGCAGCCATTGCGGCCATCTGGGGAGTGAACCAGTGGCTGGAAGACTTCTCCCTCTCTCTGCCTCTCCTTCTCTCTCTGTGTAACTCTATCAAATAAATAAATAAATCTTTAAAAAATAAAATAAAAAGTAATAAAATAAAATTAGCACATAGCAATGTGAGATTTGAATGTTAAAAGAAAAAGAAATGCTTTGAATGAACATTCATTCACCATGTACTACATCCTTATTCTGATTCCCCTGCTTTCTTAAAAAAAAATTCAACTGGAAAAATCCAAGCAATCAACAGAGGAGCCAGCCACTCTTAACCATGGTGAAAGTGAGTCCATGTGCCTGAGAGGCTGCATATCACATGTTATTTTTTGTAAGTTTGCCTGGAAAAGGCTACTGCTGTACCATTAAACGCCAAAAGGCCTTGGTTGTGTCACAAAGCACTACAAAGGAATCCTGTTGATGTAACATTTGAAACAGAGGGGAAGTTTCTTCCACCTTTGCTCCATTCCCACCTCTGTAGAACAAATCATCACCTCACAGTTGCTTGGAACTGTCCCAGAAACTCCCATTCCTAGAACGACTGGGGAGTTTCAATGCCAACAAATGCCCACTTAGGCTAGTGAGCATGGCTGAATTGCACTAGAGACTCAAAAAGCTTTTTGCCGGTTGCAGAGCTTCCTAGGTTTTTTTTTTTTTTTTTTTTTTTCAAGAGAAATGAAAGCCCCCTCAGTTCATGTGATGAAGCACATAAGATAAATCAGGAGTGGTTCTCTGGGTGAGAACATTTAGCAGTATTACTCATTTAGTCCTTGGAAAAGCCTGACAAGTAGGAATTACTATTCTTATTTTCACTTAGCAAGCGAAGAAACTGAAACCAAGGAAGGCTAAATAACTTGCTTAGGTTTCACATAGAGGTGGTAGGATCAGTGAGGAGTTGGGAGGTAATGGCTAGAAAATTTTAAGATGAACTGTATTGCAGATTAACTTTGTGCTAAACTGGGTTTTTCTCAAAACCTGACATAATATTTTCTGTCCATTTTTCATAAGATCTGTACTGGGGGGACTTTGTCAACTCCTGCAACAGACTAGTAAGTATCCAAGTGTCTAAAAGAATATGAAATTATGCTCCCCTTCCTTTCCCACAGATGAAGAAACATGAGAACTTTGAATAACTGGGGGAGATCTGGCATGCATGGGCCTACTGCTATATTTGACTAGTACTTTCCATGTAGGTATAAGTAACCAGCTTTTTCTAGTTGCAAAACTAGAGCTCTTACAGTCTTTCTATGCTCCAGCCACCTTGACCTACAAAGCAGACATGTGAAGTGCAGGAGAAGCAGCTGAGAACCTAGCAGAATAGCTGTGCCTGCGCTGCCATCTGCTCAGCATGACGCAGCACATGGGCAGTCATAACTGCACCCAGAACAGCAAAGGGGAGATGCAGTTGACTGAGCACTTACTGTGTGCAAGGCATCAGACTGACGACTCTCTCAGCACTCCTTGCTTAGTCCTTGGGAACACTTACTGAATAGGTCTAATTATTCTTGTTTTCGTTTTACATGAGAAGCAATTGAAGCAAAGGGAGGTTAAATAGCATTTTCAAGGGCCAGGCATTTGGTGTAGTAGTTAAGACACCGCTTCGAATGCCTGCATCTCGTGTCAGAGGGTTACGGTTCCATTCCTGCTAAGGAGCAATCCTGGGAGGCAGAAGAGTGATGGCTCAAGTACTTGGGTCTCTGCCACCCATGGAGGAGACCCAGTTTGAATTCACAGGTCCCTGCTTCTGCTTGGTTCAGCTCTGGCTGTTACAGGCATTTGGGGGAGTGAACCGTGGCTAGGAGATCTCTGTGTGTCTCTCTGCCTGTCAAATAAATAGATGGCTAGATAGGAACATAAAAATAGCTTGTCCAAAGCCACACAGACAGGTACCAACACAGTAAGTAAAACATTGTTTTGGAGCCATAGCTATAATCAGTATGCTAAATGTCAGTGTAATTCTTAAGAGAAATATTGTGATAATAACCTATGGTACATGTGACTGCGTTTTTTGGAGCTAGGTTAAAAGGTGCTTTCCCCACTTGGAAAGGCTTACATTGGATCGTATAAAGCAAAGTAGAAGTAGTTTTGTCCATACGTAGCTCAGTTTCTCTCTCCTTTTAAACACTTGGTTGAGTTGGGTTTTGCTTCTCTTTAAAATTATTTTGGCCTTGTGGCTTATTTTCGTTCTAAATTATGAGTAAAAGTGATATTTGGCACTTTCAGGGAGAAGCTTTTAAAAGCTAGAGCAGGAGTTGGCGCTGTGGCTCACTAGGCTAATCCTCTGCCTAGCGGCGCCAGCACACCGGGTTCTAGTCCCGGTCAGGGCGCCAGATTCTGTCCTGGTTGCCCCTCTTCCAGGCCAGCTCTCTGCTGTGGCCCAGGAGTGCAGTGGAGGATGGCGCAAGTCCTTGGGTCCTGCACCCGCATGGGAGACCAGGAGAAGCACCTGGCTCCTGGCTTTGGATCAGTGCGGTGCGCCAGCCGTGGCGGCCATTGGAGGGTGAACCCACGGCAAAAGGAAGACCTTTCTCTCTGTCTCTCTCTGTCTCTCTCTGTCTCTGTCCACTCTGCCTGTCAAAAAAAAAAAAAAAAAAAGGTAAGCTAGAGCAGGGACATTTTGCTTCTGGCTATGACGGAATAGTGGGGACCAGATTTTCCCTGTTGCCATAAGCAAATGGAAAGCTGTGTAGCTGCATGAAGCACTGGTGCTCAGCCTTTGGACAACAGGTAGCACAGGACAGCAATCCCTCAGAGAAGGGAAGGGCGCTGTGAATACCCCAGTTCACTACTTGAAGAGGATCCAGCAAAGGTGAGGGGAGTGGGGATGGACACAATCACATTCCGGTGGTCGAGCTAAAATGAGGAGAGAGATTTGGGGTTCACTGGAACATGTGAGGCCGACTTGTGGAGAGGCGGGAGCTGCTGAGGGAGAGATTGCTCCAGAGATCCGCAGAGGGGTTCTGCTGAGTTTTTTACTGAGTACAAATCTGTACATGCATAAGAGACCATTACCAAATCAGGGGACAACACTGTACGAAATGAATGGCAGAATACTCAGAGCTCACATGGGGCTAGGAAAAGTTGGTGCCAAAGTAGGAAAGCATTCAGAAACAGAGCATTGATTAGAATGCTTCAAAAGCAGGCAAAAAGTTAACCCTAGACCTAAGGCTTGTCTGGATCTGACCCAACATAATTTATAGGCAAACCTTGAGAAGATTTAATCAATTCCAAGAAACTTGACTGCATCCCAGAACAAAGCATAAAGTATTTAAAGGGACGTCAAAAAAGAAAGAAAAAAAACAAAGAAATAAAATCCAACACCAAACAACATAAAACACACAAAACTTGGCATCCAATAAAAAAATACCAGAAATTCAAAGAAGGAAAATGTGACTCATAAAGAGGGGAAAAATCAATCCAAAGGAAAAGATCTAGAAATGCCATCCAATAACAGAACTCACAGACAAGGGAATTAACATAGCTATTACAAAAATTCAAGAAAATTTGAGGAAAGCATGAACTTTAGTAGAAAAAAACACAAAAGATATTTAAAAATATTTAAATTGGGGCCAGTGCTGTGGTGCAGCAGGTTACAGCCCTGGCCTGAAGCGCTGGCATCCCATATGGGCTCCGGTTCTAGTCCCGGCTGCTCCTCTTCTGATCCACCTCTCTGCTATGGCCTGGAAAAGCAGTAGAAGATGGCCCCAGTCCTTGGGCCCCTGCACCTAAGTGGGAGACCCGGAAGAGGCTCCTGGCTCCTGGCTTTGGATGGGTGCAGCTCCGGCTGTTGAGGCCATCTGGGGAGTGAACCAACCAGCAGGTGGAAGAGCCCCCCCCCCCCCACTCTCTCTATGTAACTCTGACTTTCAAATAAATAAATAAATCTTTAAAAAAGATGCCATTCAAGTCCTGAGTTAGCTGACCTTAAGATCTGGATATTATCCCAGTGGGCTTGGCTCAGCCAGATGACCTCTTTGAAAGCGGAAAGTTTTCTATGCCTGCTAGAGGAGACATTAGAGAGATTTGAAGCATGAGAAAGATTCAGTGTGCTCAAGTTGGCTTTGAAGGTGGAGGGGCCATGTACAAGGACCATAGCATGGCTACAAGTAGCTGAAAGCAGCCCTCCACTATCAGCCAGCAAGGAGACAGTGTCTTCTGCTTTTTTTAAAAAGATTTATTTATCGAGGGTTCGCGGCCAACCGTTGCTTCGGAGGCCTCGCCATTACATTCTGCAGCTGAGAGACCATGGTGGGCCGGAACAGCGCCATCGCCGCCGGCGTATGCGGGGCCCTTTTCATCGGGTATTGCATTTACTTCGACCGCAAGAGACGGAGTGACCCCAACTTCAAGAACAGGTTGCGAGAACGAAGAAAGAAACAAAAGCTTGCCAAAGAGAGAGCTGGGCTTTCCAAGTTACCTGACCTTAAAGATGCAGAAGCTGTCCAGAAGTTCTTCCTTGAAGAAATACAGCTTGGTGAAGAGTTACTAGCTCAAGGTGAATATGAGAAGGGTGTGGACCATCTGACAAATGCAATTGCTGTATGTGGACAGCCACAGCAATTGCTGCAAGTATTGCAGCAAACTCTTCCACCGCCAGTGTTCCAGATGCTGCTCACTAAACTCCCAACAATTAGAGAATTGTAAGTGCTCAGAGCTTGGCTGAAGATGATGTGGAATGAAGAATTTCAACATAATAAAATCTCACTTCAAAATATTTTTAAAATTCTTAACTTGGAAGCTGAGCAGCTCTTGGGGAAAAAGGGCAAATAAGCTTGTTGTGGACTGTCCTACACTGAAATCTACCAAAGTTCATGTTTGCTTTGCGTAGATCCATTTGTCTGTTTTATTTATTTTCCCAGTGAAAAGTGTATTTTGTAGAGAGCTTTTCATTTTATAAATACACTATGAGTTACCAAAAAAAAAAAAAGATTTATTTATCTGAGATTTAAAAAGATTTGTTAGAGTCAAGGGCCTCCAGCCAAAGCAGCACGATGAGGGGCTTCCAAGAGAGGAAAAACCCAAAGGATCCTATGGTACTGGCGTTTTTAAGTACAATTTCTAAGGAAAAAAACTTGACAATCAGACTGACAATTACCAGGTGAGGACAAAACACATCAAGAAACATACTTTACAATTCTCCATCCTGTCTGGCTTGCTCGTGATAAAACAAAAAACCATCCAGAAGGGTGACATAGGTAACTGGTTTTCACAATAAGCTGTGAGCTCAGGAAGAACTCCCTTGCTATTCCCGTGGTAAATTTGGAGATTTCGAAGGAAGGAGGGTGGCCTGTTTGTTCTTGCTAAAGATAACTTTTTGGGGGGAGAAAATATTCTACACCCCAAATTCCACTAGGACCACCCTGACTGCCTATTAACGCATCTGACCCCCGCTTAACAAGAAAGGGCCCTGACATCTGTTGGGGGGACTGGATGATGATCGCTTCAGCTGCTTCATGCTTCAAAGGAGCATCTTTGGGAAAAGGACTCAAGACAGGGTTCCAGCAGGAGGTGGCTTCTCAGCAGGAGGTGGCTTCCCCAGGGGGATGCAGTGCCAGCTTATAGAAACTGTTTCCATCAGAGGTTTCATGCATGTTAATAAAATGGTACAGTCTTCTCTGTGGTGCCACTTTAGTCTCTGGCCATGTTGCCATTTTGTACAATAAGCTTCATTCTAAGCCCAGCCTGGCTTACCAGAAGTCAGTTGACCAAATGGCCCAAACACAAGCATCAGCTTCACTCTCACCCTAATGGGATTTGTTGCTCCCACTTCCTTATCTCTGCAAAGCTGTGTAAGACCTGTTCTTCCAGTACAGGCTGCTATTCTCTCTGTGTATAGAGAGGTAGCCTGTCGGATTTCCCCCACCTGAAAACAAACCTTTTCCCTGACTCTGGTGTTTGGTGTGTTTTGTGGTGGCCTTTCCTTCCGATGTGCATGGATGGCCACCTAAAATTTTACTTAGTCTCACATGGAAGAACAATTTCTAAGCAGACAAGCAGAGAGATTTAAAAAGATTTATTAGAGTCAAAGACCTCCAGCCAGAGTGGTATGGAGGGAGGCTTCCAAGAGAGGAAAAAAACCCCAAGATTTATTTATTTTATTTGAAAGGTAGACTTACAGAAAGAAAGACAAAGACAGAGAATGGTCTTCCATTGGCTGGTTTACTCTCCAAATGGTTGCAATGGTTGTGACTGTGCCGAGCTGAAGCCAGGAGCCAGGAACATCTTCTAGATCTCAAACATAGGTGCAGGGGCCCAGGGACTTGGGCCATCTTCCCCTGCTTTCCCAGGCACATTAGCAGGGAGCTGGATCAGAAGTATAGCAGCTAGAATTTGAACCAGTATCCATATGGGACACTGACTTTGCAGTTGCTAGCTTATCCCACTGCGCCACAATGTTGGCCCCTCTTCAGTTCTACACCCATAACTCTGCTAGTTACAGGAAGGAGACTGGAAGAGAATAGTAAGTTCCAGAGCAGGACATAGCTAGCTGATACATGGGTTCTAGCCTTGTGAGAACCTGAGCAGAGATCTCAGCCATCCCATCCAGATTTGGTTCTTATAGACCAGTGAGATACACAAACATTGTTTTAAGCTGTAAAATTTGAGGTAATTTGTTATGCAGCAAGAGATAACTAATATATATTGATTTCAAACCAGTGGGACCTTCTGGAACTCTGTGGAGCTGCAACCCTGAGTGTAAACAATTTAGTGACGCTTTGTTATGACAACCAGATGCTTTTGGAAAACCACGCTTTCATGATCAGTATGAGAGATGCATGACCTTGAGTGCACTAAGAGCAGAGACTGAAGCATAAGCAATATGGAAGAAATGCTATGAAACCAAACTTGAATGAACAGGAGACAACTAGACAGCAGGTTCTATCACTATACACAAATTAGAGCAACTTGCATTCATACAGGAATGAATGTCAGTCCAACTGGAAAACAACGTGAGGGTTGCCAACTGTAGCTCTGCTGCAGTTTAGAGGATGAGAATATGGTGGATAAATAATGCTGACGATAAAACAACAGCAACAATAACCATCTACAGAATTTTCTGGGCCAGGCACCATCTCAGCAACTTTCCATGTGCTCTTTCAAATTCATACAAAACCATCCAGGCTGATAGTATTAATCCTCTTTTTCCCCTTGAGTGGTGGTAATGAAGAGGGGTTGTAAGATTAATCAGAAAAGAAACAGGAAACAGGGGTAGCATTTTGGCACTGAGTGCCTGCTTTTGTTTCATGGTGTACCCTTAATCTTGGGGTCTCAATAATCCTTTGCTGCTCTGGATAAAGGAGGCACTACACTCTCATAAAACTTGAAAAACACCCTTCTTAATGTACTGAAAACACCTGGCTTCTGAGCCAGAACTGACAAAGTAGACTGTTGTTACTCTTATTTTTAGCATAATTCATGCTTTATCTGGAGCATATCATGTACATAGAACACACATGAGCAACATTTAAGGATCTTGTTGACAACTGGATTGGTCATTCGTTTTGGACACATAGTAGTAGATGACGATGCGTAGAGTCTAAGAACATCTGGTGATGAGTTTTTCCAGGGTTTTCTGGTTTGCGGATATATAAAATAATGACAAAACGAACAATACAACACTAATAACCATTTTTTCTCTCAATTTTAGTTCATATACCGCAAACAGCTTAATTGTGTTAATTAAATAAGCACTAACATAAAAATCACGGAAAATTAAAGGGGACTGAATCTTCCTAAAGGAAGGAGCACTCTAGCGTTTTTGCTTTTTTACTCAGACAAAAAACAAAAACAAATAACAAACAAGTGAAAAAAAAGCCCTGTCCACCCAGGAGCTAATCCATTTTCCACACTCATTATCATTCAGATGAGTCTGGGTAAGACAAAGATGTCGGCAGAGCTTTTTTCAGTGTCTGAGAACGCCTTTCTTATTTGGATTGTGCAAATAAAGAGGACCCTCTGGATCTAATTAAGAGATTTTTCACCTGCCATCATTCATTCATTCAGTTCACAAACATTTATGGAACACGTGCTACGTTCAAGACACAATGTTAAATACTGTATTACACTAAGAGTTATGCCACAATGGGCCAATCATAAAACCACACTCTTAATTAATCTTGCGATTTTTAATGATTTAATTCTTCATTCAACAAGGCCTTATTAACAACCAAGTGCCATGCTAGGCATTGGGACTGCCAATACGCACTCATGGTCTCTGCTTTCACGTGTGCATAATCTAATGGGGGGAGGCAGAGACATAAACAAATAATTACTGTGCCGTTGCAGTTCTACCATAAAAGGTCTGTGACAGTGGAATGGAGAGTGTGTGTGTGTGTGTGTGTGTGTGAGTTCCTAGAGGGAGTGGGAGGAGAGTCCAAAAGGGTCTTTCTGAGGGGATGAGCTGAGCCTTGGAGGATGAGTGTGCTTTTCCCAGGGGAGAGAAGAGGAGGCAGGGGAGGGAGTGAGGACATCCCAAGGGAGGGAGGGGCTGTCATCCCTGGCATAGAGAGGAGCCTTGGAAACAGCTGTGGAAGGGCATGTTGTATGTGGGGAACCACAGTCATGTGTAGCTGGCAGGAGGTGGGACAAGAGTAAGGAATGAGAGAATCATGCTTGACAATTATTTAGGTACAACTGGATGAACTTGCTAACGCTAGACTATTCAACTTAAAACAACAGCAATTTAAGCAGCATTTCAAAGTGTTGTAATCATGATGATGAGGGGCTGATGCTGGGTGGCTTGGTGGCTAAGCCTCTGCCTGTGGCGCCAGCATCCCATTTGTGCACCAATTCAAGTCCTGGCTGCTCCACTTCCGATCCAGCTCCCTGCTAATGGCCTGGGAAAGCAGTGGAAGATGGCCCAAGTACTTAGGCCCCTGTACCACCATAGGAGACCTGGAAGAAGCTCCTGGCTCCTGGCTATGGATTGAATAGGCTCAGCTCTGGCTGCTGCAGCCATTTGGGGAAGGAACCAGCAGATGGAAGACTCTCTCTGTCTCTCTGTCTTTCTCTCTCTTTCTGTAACTCTGCCTCTCAAATAAATACATCTTTCTAAAAAAATGATGATGAGCATCAGTAAATAACCACACAGACTTGATTACTATGATTGCTGCTCTGATGGTTGGTGTCACTGTTAGTGTTATTTGCATTTTCTACACCACCCTGATCACAAATGGCTTTTCCCTAGCTCCAAGGTTGTTTCCTGTGTCTAGGGGGGAGAGGGAAATTCTGAGTTTACATGAAGTTTAACAATCTTAGCTGCCGTAGTTAAGAGAGTGGAACTGGGAGGACAAATCTATCAACACTGCCCTGTAGCAGCAATAACAATGAATACCAAGGTTTGCCAGCCACTGGGAAAGATAACATCCTTCTCAGGCCTTATCTCTGATCTGCACAAGAATATTCCAAGGTGGATCTTGTTATCCCCATTTTACATATGGGAACTCCAAGGCTCTGGGAGGGTAGGGTACTAAGCTCAGCGCCATTCCATTGATGAGCAGCAGAGTTAGGACGACTTTCATCTAATGTCACCAGACGCTCCTCTCCAAGGAGATCTAGGGGCAATGACTATAAGGACAATTAACCAGGACTGATGGCCATCACAGTTGAAAGTTATTGTCCAGTAAAGGATAAACCGGAAAATGGTATCACCCCAGGACCTACTTTCTGATTGTCAGAAGTCTTTGCTTTTTAATTTGGGTTATTTCAACTTTAGGAAGGGAGAAAAAGGAGAGGGTGAGAAGGTGTGGGTGGGGTGAGATGGGAAGGAAAGCGAAAGGCAGAGCACTCTTTTCTCCCCACACTCTCTGACAAGGAACCAACTGGCTCCTTAACTCAACTTTGTCCACTGTGGCAAGAACAAAGCACATTCTGCTTTGTGGAGGCCTCTGAAGACCCAGGACAGAGAGGGGAAAATCTGTATGGGCA